TAGGTTAATATATCAAAATTGTAAAATATCCTTAGCTATCATGAGTACCCAAAAAATCCAAGAAAATATCGATCACGCACCAGTAGAGGCGGTAGCAGTACCTTCTCGACCGGAGAGCCTGAAAATCACTGAAAATTTTGAACCAAAGGTAGAGGAAGAAAATAGCGGGACGTTCTACCGCCGGGGGCTTAAAGCCTTTCCTCAATCACAGATTTCAGAAAGTGAAGAGGTGAAGCAAATACTGAGATATTCTGGTGAAGACTATTTACCAGGCATCTCTACTTGCAATGATATAGTCACAGAAAATGATGAGGGGCTGACGATAATTCTTGAAAACGCTTTAGCCAATCACAGAGATGTACCATTTATATCCGTTGATATAGAGAAATCGAATGAATATATTAACCACATTCCTCATTACGTTTTATAACTGTATGGATCACTCATTAATGGTCAGAAAGCAGTAGTAACAATTACTGGCATTAAGGTTTTCTTTGATATCCGTGTTCCCGACAATAAAGATGCCAGGTTTTTCGAGTTCGAAATTAAAACCATTTTCGCCAACGAAAAAGATGAAAAAAAAACCGTAGATGTAAGTAAAATTCGAATAGAGCATATAAAAGCATTCCCTATCTGTGGTTACCATACGGAAAAAAAGACATATCTTCGTGTTTTTACATCAAATACTTTTCAGAAAAAAATCACTCTAAATATTATTCGAAATTATAAATCTGAAAAGCAGAGCTCTTTGATTTTGGAAACCGCATCAGATGACCGTAGTGCTTATTATCACAAGGTTGCTCGCGAATATAGAATTTCTTTATCGGGGTGGGGAATAATAAGCAATTACAATTATGATAAACATTGTCTTCTTTGTTCATATGCTTTTCGGGTTTCTATAAATAATTTCCAACCAATGGAAGACTCATTAAACATACGCAACTTATTTCCCACTTTAGCTATAATACACGATCGCACCCTAGTACTAACATGGGATATAGAAACCCATACAGAACGTGGAATAGATCAATTACCCCGTCCGTGGCATCTAGAGGACAATGTATTTATAATTTGTATGACTATTCATTGGAAAGACGACCCTACCCCACTGAAGCAGATTTGTATTGTTGATGTAGAAACCGCATCAAATCCAAATTGGATAACAATCGTTTGTGAAAATCAGACGAATTTACTGAAGGCGTTTGCACTATGTTGGCGAGCACTAGCACCTGATATTCAGATAGGTTTCAATGATTCAGACTATACATGTGGTGGAATTAGATTTTTGATTTTCATATTAATATGATTTTTAATGATAATACGATATCTATATTCCAATTAATTAAGAAATCATAATTAAATAAGAAATCGTAATTAATAG